TTAAACTGAAATTATTCAACTTTACGATAGGAAGGAAAACTTTCCAGGTTATTGGGATAAAAAATTACTAACACTGTGAAAGGCTTTAAATGTTGAATATGCACAGTGTTTAATAATATTAGTAATAATAATAATTTATACGAATAATATTCATTAATCCATATGATGTTGAAGACAAATGGCTTGTTTATGTGCTTTATTATGTTCGTCTGTCTATGCATCATAAAATGTCCATTTATTTGAAGGTATACATACACTATACTGAATACAGTAATGATGATGCTTTTTCTATATAATTAATTAGGCAAACATTTCAACAAATATTAAAGTCATGTACTGATTTAATGTAGGCCTGTATTATTAAATGAGTGAATGACAAGCGAGATGATTCAACCAGCAGACAGAAAAGGTCTCTCATATTGTCACTAGTGTCATTAGGACGGATGACATATCATAGTGACTAGTGCATGCACTAACATGATAATATGATTGAACAGTTTTTGATTGATTTGTTTTTGAGAGAGCCTCTTCAAGGTCGTGCAGTCATTCAGATATTGATTATCTATTTATGGTTTAAATTTATGCGGATGTATAAGCGATATATATTATTATTATTATTATTACTGTCCACTTGGGTTACGGGTGGAACATTGGTCTTCAACAGAAGATTTCCACTTTGTCCTACTCTCTGTGGTCCACGATTGCCTATAGTCTGTCATCTCCTGCTCACATGATCTCATCTATGTCAACCTGGGACCGTCTCCGTAGAGTGTGCCTGACCCATCTTTATTTTCTTTGGAATATATGCTGAGCGACTGGTTCTTGCTTAGTTTTCTCTCATAGTTTCTTGTTGCTGATTCCTTCTGGCCATTCGATCTTCAGTGTGAAGCCAGTGAAGGCACCTGTTCATCAATGTTTGCAGATGCCTGTTTGAAATGCTTTAAATGAAGTGCATCCCAAGGTTCTGACTCATGTAGAAGAACTGAATGACCTGACGTTGATGTTGAAAATCCGAATTGCCTTGTTTATGCTGAGGTAGAGCTCAGAATATCTCCAAACTGATATCAGAGTAATGAAGGTCTGTTTGGCCTCTCCAATCCTGGCTGGCGTTTTGCATCCTCATGTGTGCTGTCCTGTAGTTGAAACGATGTTGTCTGGCCAGATAAGTGAAGGAAGTGACTTCTTCCAAACTTCTCCCATTGATAGTGAAGTGTTTTTCTTCTTCTTGTTATTGTTGTCGTTGATCGGTTGGTTATCTTTCTCACCTCCATCTTCTCTATGTTCACTCTTGGTTCCATTTTTGCTGCCTGCTTGTTCTGTCATTGTGTTTGTTTTTGCCTGTATCTCTTCGATTTTGTGTGACGTTAACGATAAATCGTCCATGCGGGAAATCTAGATATTCTAGAGTCTTATCGGTCCAACATATTCCTGTACTCTCTCTCCCTACGCATAAACTTCCGCATAATTCATTCCACCACAGTTAGAAATATCATCGGTAATAGTATTCAATCTTCTCTTTCTCCTGTCTTCACTTCACATCCTTTGCTGTGTTTTCTGTTGTGATCACTCAACAGGTGGCATTTTCATATAACTGTCGCAGAGTAGTAATGGCAAGAATGAACCTAAACACCACACTGCATTGTAGTCAGACAACCACAGGCTTCGGTGCTGGGTTGATCGCTGTTCACTTGCAGTTACTCGGAGAATCCTTTTTAGTTTCTTTTCCTCCGCTTAGTGATATGCTTAAATTCACCGGGTGTGCACATCTGATCGGAGGTTAGTCATTAAACTTAAAACCAGAGCTGTTTTAAGTTTTAGGTTTTGAGACGGCCTCCTGTCTGGCCTCCAGTGAAGAGAGAACTTTAAATATACCTTTTTTTCTGATAATCATGTTGAACATCAGTGCAGGTCAGAAACAAATTGCATAGACTACGAAGATTACTTTTGATGTTTCGAATCAGTATCTTTGGACTACCAATCACATTTCAAAGTTCAAGCATCTGCATCACTTTAACCTGAATAACCTGATGCATATCAGAAAAAGTACTCACTCTAGCGTTTTGGGTTCCTCTAGTACTCCAACTTTCCCTTAGGACTTCTCTCAGATTTATAACTACTTAAGATGTACCAGTCTGTTCCATCTGTAGAGCCTACCGTTATTCCGAAATCTCCAAGTGAATTATGAAACTATCCCTAATCATATGCTTTCTTTAACAGGGTCTTCATTCTTAAGAACCTTTCTTCTGAAAACAAGGATTAACCTTTTTAATGGTAGTTTACATGCTTTCGAGGTTTCATCCCTTAGCTGTTAAACTGAACATGAACTGGGTACTGAGATGATCTTCTCTTCCTTAGAGACTTTTATTCGTAAATTGAAAATAGATATCATAGACTGCAGTGTCTGAGTCACATGAGGTTTCGCTTGCTGTGGAGTTAGACCTAACATCATCAGTAACTAAACTCGAGAGAGAGAGTCATGACATGAAAGTAGTTAAAAGGAACTTGCGGACTTCCTGGAGGTGCATCCAGTGTTGCTATATTCTTCTTGCTAACAACAGGAACCGTAGACGCTCTCATTGAGTATCTGTCAGTCATATTATCACGGTGTGCTAGACTGTCATTAGACAATCTTTCAGTTGAGTGTTCAGTTTTTTACTCTTAATTCATGTAGAAGTTCGTGTGCAAGATAAGCATTCAAGCAAGGACACTAGTACCATAATAAATTACCACTGTCTCCTTATTTCGTCCTATATTGAGACTGTGAACCACTGCGCACCTATGACACCCCACCACGGGGCGATCTGATGACCTTTAGGTTAATAGGCCAGCTCACTGACCATTCAACCACCGAATCAGGGTCATATGACCTCTAGAATTCTTATTTTTATTATTTCCTTTAATTTCTAAAAAGATACAGGGCTTCCGCCGCATATCTCCATTGCCGTCGTTTAGCCACCAACGTTCTCAACTCACTCCACGTCTGTCCACATGCTTCCATCTCCTCTTCACACCACCTTCTCCGCGTCATCCTCCAACTCACAACCAACTCGCCGCTTCCCCTTCAGGTTCTACTCCAGCGATGGCCTGGCGTGTGATGTCGCTCACTTGGTGGTTTGTTTTCTCAGAGTATGGCCTCCACCTCCATTTATTCCTGCATATTTGTTGCACAATCAGTTCCTGCTGGGTTGGTTCGCTCATTGCCAGAGATCCCTCCCTGTATCTGATATTTTCTGGTCGGCCATCTGATCTCGGGTAGTGTTGAGCGAAGACAACTGTTGATGAAGGTGTGTAGTTTATTCGAAGTGGCCTTCGTGACACGGCACGACGCCAAGTCTCTGATCCATATAGTGGGTAGAATATGATAATAATAATAATAACAGCTTTATTCCAAACGGTATTTGTGGTACAGGTATGGAATTTTCAGCGTGCATTACAGTATATTGCATCTAATTACCTCATAAATTATATAAGATTTTTAAAATCAAAGATAAATATATAAAATAAAAAAAATAAAATAAATAAAAATAAAAAAAAACAGCGTAGAGTTTACATTTCAAACAATGCACCACAGGATATGAAATATAAAGTTGATGTGTGATAGAAGATGAGAACAACAGTGTAATAGTAACGAGGAAAGGAAAACAAAAACTAATGGGACTATTTGTTAGAGTGCCGCAGTAAGTTTATCGTGTCATACCTAACGGATTTCTCATCACATAACAGCTGTGCCAGATATGGTATTGTGGAGTTTTTGTATTTGGTAGTCCTAGCATATAGCCTCCTATAGCTGCTTCTAGTTCTACCAGATGAAATGCAAGGAGATAGCTGCGTATAGAGAGGATGCTCGGGGTCCGACAATATTGTATTCGCTAGTTTCTTACATGACATTATATGTCTATCCACAATAGTGTTAACCAGTTGGTTTAACGATATCCCACTTGCCCTACTAACGGCTTTAGTGCCCTTCTCAGCGAAGCAAAGTCTTTCTTAAGTAGTCCAGGAAAGACTAATGGGGAGCAGTAAAGGAGGATGGGTAGAATACAAGAATTTACAAACTGAGAAAGCAAAGACTGCTTTATGCCAGACTGCCTAAATTTCCTAATGTAGAACGTTAAGCGAAACATCTTTCTAGTAACTAGCAAGATGTGGGAAGACCAGGAAAGATCGGTGGAAAAACTCAGCCCAAGGTACTTGACATTAGATGTATTTTCAACCTCTGTGCCGTCAATGATAGTGGGGCCATGTGAGCTAACTAGTTGCTGTAGGTCACATTTACGTCTGAAAGTGAAATTGACTACCTGACATTTAGACGGATTAAGCTTAAGTCCGTTTGAAGAGGACCACTGACTAATTTCCGACAGAAAGTTATTTAATTTGGAACAATCTGACTGAGAGTTGACAGGCATAGAAACCGAGAGGTCATCGGCATACTTAACAAAAGTGGCTACATCAGAATGAGGCAAGTCATGTAAGAAAAACGAAAACAGAAAGGGAGAAAGAACAGCACCTTGAGGAACACCAGCTAAAGTAAGTGAGGTAGTGGAGGACTTTCCATTGTAGACGGTGTACTGCTTCCTTCAGAAAAATAGGAATGCAACCACTTATTTGTCCAGCTCTCAGCCTGTGTTGCAGCAAGCTTACTTAGCAAGAGAGACCTGGGAACAGAGTCAAATGCAGATGTGTAATCAAGGAAGGCACAGCGAACGTATTTAGCTCCTTTATCTAAACTAGAGACTATGCTATGGTGGAGGACAACAGCGGCATCTAACGTACACCTACTATGTTTATAAGCAAACTGGTTGGGGTCGTTGAAAGGTTTTAAAGAGGGATCAAGATTAAGTAAAATAAGTCTTTCCATAACTTTCAAAAAGGTGAGGTAATTGCAATGGGTCTAAACTTAACATTAGGTCCACTTGTAGATTTAGGCACTGGAACGATCTTGATATTTTTCCATGATTCAGGTATAATACTTTTGGAAAACGATTCGTTGAAAATGTCAGTTAAGGGGAACACAAGATGTCGGCACACTTCTTAAGGATAACAGCAGGAACACCATCAGGACCAAGGGACTGAGTAGGCTTGAGAGATTGAAGACACTTGAGGACATCATTCGTGTTAAAGCATGAGAAGCAGTCATTGTTTACACTATTTGAGTTAGGAATCATAACATTTGCTGGGATACATATGAAGGATTCATTAAGCATGTTAACATCTACAGAAATATCATTCAACATTTGCTTACCACCTGTGATTTCCTTTAATAACTTCCACATATTTGATGGGGATTTACATGAAAGAAACTTCTGGTTATAGAGAGCATTCAATCTTTGTAATTCAAGCTTAATCAAAGTGTTCATTCTCTTAACACCAGATTTGTTTTTCATTTTGAACAACCTTTCTTTTTCACGGCGGAGCTTTTTGAGTTGAGAAGAGGAGAAGCGATCGAATTTTAAGAAGATTGTCTCTTTTGGACAACAAACATCAAGACAGAAATTAAGATAATGTGTTATGTTGGCAATTGTGTTATCAAGAGCTTGTTCAGTAAATAAATCCCAGTTTGTGTCTTTTAACATGGACCTTAGATTCAGTATGTTGTCATGGGAATAACATCTGTGTTGTGTTTTCTTTCCAAGGTATGAGAAGACCCTTTTGTGCTGCTTTCCATATACTTTGGGCAATATTCTTATGATACAGTGATCTGAATTTAGTAGTGGGGCTCTTTTTCGAGCTTCAAATATTCCTGTGTCATTTGTAAACACAAGATCAAGAGTGTTATCCATTCTAGTCGGGAAGTTGACAATGTTATCGTGTCCAAGTGAAATTAGGAAGCTGTGATCACTAGAATTAAAATCTCCAGTAACTATAGACAAGGAATTTCCGAAGGAGGTGGCAGCAAGGGAAGTAAATTCATCCGCAAATAAAGATAATTCTGTGGAGTTGCATCCAGGAGCAATATAAATGTTCGAGATGTAAATGTTAGTTGTATTTTGACAAATGTTTAGGTCGACACTTAACGGTGAGACAGTCAGTATTGTCACTGGAGAATTTGAAACATACATTAGAACTGACTTCACATTGGATTTGACAATCCGGATCTTATTTTCATTTCAATGCTGAGTGCTGTTTATCTCCATACAGATTTGAGGGAAATGAAAGCTTGCTTTGCTTTCCCGATCCTCGCTGCCTGTAGTTGAAACGATGCTTCCTGGATAGGTGAAGGAGGTTGCTTCCTTCAGATTTCGCCCATTTATGCTGATAGTTGTCTGTTGTCTGTTGTTGTTGCTGTTGGCCAGGAATCTACATCACTTCTGTTTACTCAATTTTCACGTGAAGTCATATCTTCTCTGGATGCTTCTTCTGCCAACCTCTTACTTTTCACTTGCATATCTTCCACTTTTTGGGAAATCGGGCATATGTCATCGGCGAAATCCAGATCCTCCAAGTTTTTATGTCGATCCACTTTATGCGTGTTTCTATGCTGCCCGCAGTCTGTCACAATCGGGAAAATCATTGTAGATAGTAGGCAGTCTTCCTTTTCTTACTCCTGTCTTCACTTCTTAGAAGGATTCTGTGATTTCCTTCTTGTGGATTACATTGTCGTGGATGAGATGTAAATCTAGAATTCTAGCTTCTGACAATTTGCAATATATCACAAAAGGAAAAAGTACTGCATAATCCTAAATAACAGAATTAACTCGAAAGGCTGATGACATCTTAAGAGTCTGAAATGAGGTCCGTGTCAGATGACTGAAGGAAGCTGTGGACCCAGGTTTAATCCTTGTCGGCACTCATCAATAGGACGTGTTTGCAATCCTGAAGGAAATGATACCCGTGTCACCCAGTGTTAAGGCGATGGGATGAGACACATAACAACCTAGTGAACGTTCATTTTATAAAGGTTTTCCGATGAAACAAGAGGAGAGAAATTTTTAAAAATTGAAATAGGAACTTAAAATGCTATACTGATGAATATGTACGTTTTGTATGCCTCTAAACGAGATTTCTTTTAACTTTGTCAACTCAGTCGAAGACATCAGTGTTTCTTATGAAACCATGTTCTCACTAGACATGGTATCACTGTTTATAAATATCCCATTAACTGAATTAATACTTAACATATGCAAATATATTGATCCAAAGGAGATGAACATTGGTATACCCACTGATTACTTCAAGGAACTACTGTTAACATGCATTCCAAACTTTCAATTCTCCAATAGTAATGAAATATATAGAGAAAATATGGGGGATTTCACCATGAACTGACATCAGTTAGAGAAAACCTGGGAGTACTGGATAGCTGTTTCGTCCTAGTTTGGGACTCCCCATCAGTACGCACCACACCAAGGTTTCGAACCCAGGACCTTCTGGTTATAAGGCGAGCTCATAAACAATTGAGCCACTGGGACCTAATCTAATGGTTCTTGAATTCTAACTTCTGCCAGTTCACGACATAGCGCGACCACTTCGCAGTGTCTTCTTCGATGAGTTACTGCTTCGTCTTCGACCTATACTTGAATATAGAGAAAAGGATAGTTTGTCTATGAGCTCCCCACTAGGTCTGTTACTTCCGAATTTTTCTATTTTAAAAATCGAAAACTAACACTTAAACAAATGATTGGTTCCCTTCTGTTTTACGAGAGAGATACGTGGATGATACTTTTATTATCTCCGATGATGAAGAGAATTTGGAAGACAATCTGGATTTTTTCAATAGCTGGTACCATGCAATCCAGTTCGCACTAGAGAAGGAATCCGATTCTAAAATTCTTTTCGGACGTTCAACTTACAAGACGTGAATAAGATGGAATACTTTGATTGGACACTAGTAACTAGTATGACGTATCTAGTTCTTTTTTTGGTGCAGACTGAATTCTATCAGTCAGGTTTTGCAATGCGGCCACCGTTCTAGGTAGTTCGCCATCACGGTGCACGTTGATTTGATGATATTAGATAGTTGGAGGCAATTGGCAGGAAGCCTTGGACCTAGGTTACAGGAGGTCAATCACAAGCCCGAATAGCTAGCTCAGAGGTAACGTCTTTGACTGCAGCACTGGGTGACGCGGGTTGGAGTCTCAGAAGGGATATGGGTTCCTTCAGGGTTGCAGATACGCTTTTGCTGATGAGTGCCAACTAGAACGAAACCTAGGTCCAAGGCTTCCTACCGATTGCCTCCAACTATCTAATAACAATAAGATGGAATACTAAAAGGATTCATCTACGGAAAGCAAACACGAAATGGACAAATCATTACCTTCCATAGCAGAGCGCCTTTAAATACATAACGAAACCTGATCCTTTCATTAAACCACAGAATCTGTGGCATTTTCAGCCTCGATACTACGGAGCTGAATACTGAAAAGAGCTCCCCTTGAAAATAGCTACTCCGAACGTTTCATCACAAAATCTATGAAGCTTAGATCACTAAAATCTCCCAAACTTTCTGCTCCTAAAAGACATCTTTACTTGAATCTACAGTTCAATACAGACTCAGCGGCAGAAATACTGAGAAATCGTCTATCGCGATAGTTGAAGAAAATCCTCTTCGCGGATACACTTCGACTAACCTCCAAGAAACCAATGATTCGCATGGACTTGATGGATAAGTTACCACTGGTAGCCACATCTGTGTCTATCTACATATCCAACTACTCTGAAAGAGCTAGTCTTATCATCAGTAACCAGAGTTTGCTATCCAGAAGTGTCATCGAACACTCACCCTCATAGTTTTATAAAGTAGAAACAAAATCCCTGGCTAAACTCTATCCTAGAACACCGGATAGAATTTAGACAAATCAACTCCAAAGTCATCTACAGAGTACATGGGAATCTTGCTGAAAGGGTACGAATCAAACTTTTTCAAACCAGAGAAGCGATGACAATTAACACTGTTAAATGTCGAACTCTGTACACAGAATAAGTCCATTCAGATGTTGAACCTACAATCGACTTGATCTATTTTAACACCGATACGTAATTTTTGTTCTTGTCTTTTTTCAATTGGATTATTTTCGTCCCACTCCCTCCTTCCGTACTAAATTTATACCCCTTATTACTACAGGTGTTAACTTGACTCCCGTTAAATTTTATTTGAATTCCACCAACTCCCGTGAATTATGCAATGCCAGTCAATTGACATATTTGATTTGATTTTAGTTTCTACCAGCTAAACGGTATTTTACATTACATAATTTACCTAAAATTGTGCTGTTATGAAAACATATTTTTGGAAATATATCTTATGCTACTGAGATAATTTCCTATATATTATATATATATATGTTTTCCCTGTCAAGTGATCCGCAACGGAAAACTCAGCGAGGCGTTTGGAGTAAACACAGGAGTCAGACAAGGATGCTTATCATCACCAATGATATTCCTAATTGTGGTGGACTGAGTAGATTATGCGTCAGACAGTGAGTGGGAAACGAGAAGACAGGGATATCCTTGAGTGACGTGAAGAACCTAGAAGACCTGGATTTCGCGAGCGGATGATTTGTGTTTGATGTCACACAAAATCGAAGACTTACAGGTGAAAACCGACAAAATGGTCGAAGAAGCAGCCGGCGAAGACAGGACTCCAGGTAAACATAGACAACACGGAGGTTATGAAAATAACCAACCAACCGACAACAACAACAACAGCAGCAACATCCAGCGCCAATCACCATTAACGGGAGGAATTTGAAAGAGGTTACTTCATTCACTTATCCAGCTAGGGAGCATTGTCTCAACTACAGGAAGTCGGGACGGACGAGGATGTCGAATAAAGCGAGAGTCGGGAAGGCGAGAAACACACTCATCAACCTGAAATCAATCTGAAAATCTTCGTCACTCAGCATCTACAACAAAATCCGGTCGGACTTTCAATACAGACATCAAGTGAGTTCTCCTATACGGATAAGGAACTTAGCAGACGGGTCACAAAGAATATTTGCAACAGCCTGTTGCAGACATTTATCAATCAAAAACTGTCTTCGCTCTATGCTCAAGATCAGATGGCCGGGCCGGAAAGAATCACCAACAAGAAACTATGGAAACAAACAAACAAAACAAAACAAGAACCAATCGCCCAACAAATATGCAGGAGAAAGAGGAGATGGATTGGACACTCACTGGCTGGGTGGCCGCTGGGTGACATCGCGCGCGCGTCAGGCCATTACTCGAGTGGAATCAGGCCGAAAGGGAAGTGGCGAGTGGGACGTCAGTGCAAGAGTGACATGTAGGAGATCGTGTGAAGAGGAGTTGACAGAATATGGACTAACATGGATGGAGGTGAAAAGTACAGCAGTAGACAGAAGCAAGTGGAAACGTGCAGTTGAAGCCCTATATTCCAATAGGAACCCAAGGGAACAATATTATATATATATATATATATATATATTTGCGATTATACAGCATAAGGATGTTATGTCTGAAAAGAGTAGCGCCTCACTGAACGTCTTTACTCTCATAATTTAATTTCATACTTGTATAAAAAGAGTTTTTAACAGAATTTTTATTTCACATGTCCGTTTAAAGCGATCTGATGAGTTACAGGATAATGTAATGACCTCATATCGCTTAGATGGAT